AGAGACAAAGATGAAAAAAAACAAAAGTTGGTATATACAAATGTCGATTGAGACTTATTTATAAGCGATTGAAAACAGAGTGATAATTTTATCTCCATCATATTGCCTCTATGTTCGTCTCGCTTCATCGCGTAACGCAAATTTAAATTCCTTATTAACTTAATAAATAAGCTTTAAGCGATATTTTTGTGTATCAACTTTTTACATATATTTATTTTGATCTCTAGAATTAACACTTCAAAAAATATTTTACGAATATATTAATAACTTATATATATTATAGCAGAAATTAAATGTATACTAATTTGCAAAATAAATGTTATATAAATATAAATATATTATATAACAAATATAAATTTATATTAATAAATGCGTATATTTTCATATCTAATTTAGCTGAAATTATATATAAAAAATAAAATATTTTGTCAAACGAAAAGAAACAGAAAAAAATTTTCTTCCTCGTTCAATTACAAAAAGTCTTACATAATCTAATTAATTTTATATCGATTGAATTGGATACAATTAACACTGTATCGTGGAATGTATTAATAGAATTTATTATATAGTTGATACGATAATAATACGATTTTTTAATTGACAAGTTAGACAATTATATGATTTATGTATTTATATAAGATTAAATTAGTTTATTTCTCCATAAATAAATTCAGATTTATCGACGAAAATATAAGATTAAAAATTCTGAATTGCGTTATTTAATCTCGTTATATAAATATAGATACTATGCATTTCATAACAAATTTTGAATAGATTGTGCAGTTATTTTGAAATGGAAATAAATGCAAATTATAATAATTAACAAGAATACTTATATATTTTATATTTTATTAAATTGCAAGTTTTAAATATATGGAAAAATAAATGATATATAGACTTGCAACAGTTAATTAGAAATAATTTACAAAAAAAGATCTCATAGATTTGTAATTTTTTTAAAAAATTTTCCAATTCCATTTTCTCGTTATACGTTCCAATTATAATAATTTTCTTTTCTTCTACATATTCATATATTTTGATTTCTACATATTCTATATATTTTGATTCTTTTTATAAATTATTTGAATTTTTAAATCATAAAATTATACTTTTCTTTTAAATGGAAACACTATCTTTTTCTTCTCTTTTGATTTCTTTAATAAATTATTTATCTATTCAAAATATTTTAAAATAAAATTTTTATTGAATTTCTAAAAAATTTTCCAAATATTACATATTCTGCATAGAGGATATTCCAATTATAATTATTTTTTTTCTACTTTAATATACTTCATAAATTATTTATTCATTTTCCAATCTCAAAATAAATCTAATATTTAAAAAAAACAATTTTTTACCGAATTTCCAAAAAATTTTCGTATATTATACACTTTTTCTGCGTTAAAATATTTAAGATATACAAATTACATACATTTTTTCCAATTCGCAAAAGGCTGGTTTTGGCTCCAAACTCTTTTGGCGTGTAAACTTCATAACCGATCGATAGACGAATTTCTCACGATTATTGGAATCCGAGAACAAATGGATTGGCAACGTTCTTGACGTGTTATTAACCCGAATACTCTGTTTCTCCATAATATGTTCTATCCTCCACGAAAAATAGGTTCGATCGATCAAGTGACCAAAGCGATATTTATACTTTTATATAATCTTGTTTCCTCCTTCGTGGAGAACTGATACTATCGTTAACAACGCCTCTGCAGTTGAATTTATCGAAAAAGTTCCCATACATGTGTATCTCGACCCAGTCGTGATAAGGTTCGAATATAAGGGGTGTGGTCTCTATGTATAACCATTTAGTTAATAATAGTCGTTAGTTCATCAGTCTTATCTAGGATCCCCCATAAATGATTCGAAGAAAATAATTGCGATCTTTTGTTAGCGAATTAGGAAAGTCGAGATAACTGTTGATAAAGAAAAAATAAATTTTAGGTTAGATTTGTCATCGAATATTTTATATATATATATATATATTTTTTTAAATAAAATATAATAATAATAATAGAAACTTAACCTCATTTAATAAAGAATAATAATAATATTGATTAGAAAAATTGTATATATGTAAACTTATGTAAGCTACAAAACATTATATTATATTTATATTATAAAATAACAAAGATGCAACAAGAAATAAAAGTATAAAAACGTATAAATTGTATACAATATGAATAAATTAAATATAATGAATGTATTACGAATAAATTACGGGTTTTTATGCAAAATTTTTATGAATATAATTTAAAAAAATTAAAAAATAAAATGATTTAAATAAGAATTTCATACTTTAATTATCATAAATAATACGTATTATATTTTATCTTGTATCTTTCTGCACATCATGCACATTTTGCAAATAGATGCATAAATATTCACAATTTAATATTGAAATAATGCAAAGAATCGTAACGATCATAAACATAGTAAAGAAAAGTAAGTTACAATAAAACCATAAAAAATCATAAATAATATCGATCTTATACAGATCTTTCAATAAAAAGAATTCTGAGATCCATAAATTTTTGACTTGTTAAGAAGTAATACAAAGAATCGTGATAGACATGAGAACGTGCCTTGAAAATCGTGAAATACTAACTTCAATAAAATTCAACATCGTTCATGAAATACCACTTGTTAATTAGAATAAACGATCGATAACCACAATGAATAAGTAATAGAAAGGGAATCATGAAATGTAACCTGCCATTCCCATTGCCGCACCTTTCTCTTCTAGAAATTGCTTTTGAATATGAGATGAGACGAATCTAAATAAACGTATTCTATCAATATATTTATTGTTTGCGCGTCAAATACTTACAAGCAATATCTTCGTAAGGATATGTATTATATAAACGATCGGAGATTTTATTTACATTGAAACGTGGGAAAATATTAATATTTGCGTATTTTGTGGGTGGAAATTCACAGTGATATTAGCTGTTTAATTTTGTTGTTTCTGTAATTTTGCTGAGAATTTGAAACTCTAAATTATTTGATTATGATTTGAGGTTATGATTTGTTTTGACATATTCGAACCAGGCGCACTAAAAATCGAAAGACTTCCAAAAGTTGATTATTGATTTTCGTATAAAAAGTTTATAAAACTATAAATAATGACGATAATCATGCAACCAAATGAAAAATTAAGAAATTTGAAAAACTCAGAGAAAACGTAGTGGAAGAAAAGGGAATAACTCAGTGGTGGCGTTACTGTTTAGCAGTTGCATATATTGTTAGACGCATACAGATAAGTATAGATGAATTCAATAATATAGCATCGAATTTTTTACAAATAATTAAAACTAAAGTCATCTGATTTTATGAGTATATATAAAAGTTGCTAAAAATAATATTTTTTACAATATATTTCAAAATCATTAATTTTTTCAGATCGTCGATTTTAGTCGCATGCATAACAACACTGTATAGAAGAGGTTAAAATCAATAAGTAGCTAAATTAAATACAAAAAGAAAAAAATATTCTATTATCAATTAATCAAATAAATTAATGCATCAAAAATTTATAAAATCTTTCATTTTTCCAAATACTCAAAGGATTAGTGTAGAAAAAAATGCTAGTGATTATTGTCTGTGAAATTCATCGAAGACATCGTTCAAAAAAGATAAAATAAAGAACAAGAAGAACAAGTTGTTTACACTGTGCATAACATAAGCTTAGAGAAGCTTAGAAATCCTCGGAAAATAGGTGATTCGACATAAGAATTCACGCTCGAACTCACTACAAAAGAATACGTGGTCAGTGAATATGTATATATATTATATTATTTATATATATATATTTATATTTATTTAATAGATTAATATTTAAACCACATGCTAAGTTTCTGTTTGATGATGTTTCTGTTTCTATAGGTTTTTCGTCGCTGTACTAACGAGATTTTTTTTCGTCGCTTCCTTCTTCCTCTCTTCTTTATATTGTGTATAGTGGCAATATTCACAGCCGGAAATACCGAGAAATTAAACAGGAATTCAAAAAAGAATAAAGAAGACTTCTGCTAAGAGCAACTATAACTATTCTTCAAAACGTGTGACGGTGGTGAAAGTGCCGGATACAATAAAAAGGAATAAAAATTGTGAAATAAGTAAAACGCTTTGTATGAGACTTGTAAGAAGTTTTTCTTAAAAGTTTATTTGTTGCATTTAAATTATTAACTTTTAATTTAGATTTGAATATTTTGCAATTAAATGTATTATAAAAACATAATTGTCATATTATAAATCCAAACTTTTAATTTGAATATGAAATACTTTGAAAATAGATTAAATAAAATTTGCATTATAAAATTATTGCTTTATTAAAAACTTTCAGCTTGAATAAAATAAAATACAAATAGATCAATTAGATAAAGTATATGTATTATAAAAATAATAATTACTTGTATTAATTATATTTTATTTTATTTTTCATAATCATTGCAATCTTGATTATATTCAAAGCCATAAAAATATCTTCTAATGATATTCAATTTATTTTTCACAGAATAAAAATCACCACTTTCTATCAGATTCATCATATTAAATTCTATATGAAACGAATGATGGAAAGGCAAGGGAATTTTTACACGCGGATATCCCAACACAAAAGAGTTATTGTTCCGCTCGATATGTTTCTTCGAATATTCTCTCCCTGCGCAGAAATGACTTGTCGAGCATAGTTTTGCACATTCTCGGTCAGAAATATCCTTTAGTCGCGGAATAATCTTGCCGCGGCGAACATCCCGCCATGTATCTGTATGAAAAGGCCCTTTCACAGTGAAATAATAATCGCCCACCGATCAAAGCTCCCTCTTGCGACGATTTTTTGACAAATTGAAAAGTTTCACGCAGCGTCATGCTTATGGGCAATTCACTTTAGCAATGCATAATTAATTTCTGCGAAGGATGCAAGAAACTTAATTTCAATTAAGGAAATTAGAATTTTCTAAATTGATATTGAAATGAATGCTATGACGTAATACATTTTACTTTAATCCTTGTAAATAGTAATTATATTTGTACTTTCTTTAATAATTTTCTTATTAATGATTTAATAAATATTTTTTTTTAATAATTTCTTTCTTGACATTACGCAAAAGGATCAAAAAATAAACAAACAATAGAGATGCAGAACAATCTTATATTTTCTCAAGAATATAAAAAATAATAAATACGAAATAGAAATGAATATTTGAATTATACTTATAAAAAAATTAAAAAAATAAGAATTTTTCAAGTGTAATATAATATATTTTTTTTAACCATTGTGTAGACAAATGAATATTCGAATAATCATTTTGATTCTTATAATTTTTTTTAATAATTTTTTATTTTAATTTTTTTCTTCATCAAATATTGAATTTTTGATATTTTTTCAAGAAAGTAAAAAATTATTAATTTGAAATGCATATCTATTTTAATGTATTTACATAAGCATTATTAGAAGTTGAAATTAAAACAAACTTTGTAATATATATATATATATATATATATATATATATATCTCTTTAATAAAGATGTAGTGAAATTTTTTATGATTTCACGAATTGATTAGGTTGGAAAGGATACGAAAGTAATAATCGATTAATCATTTTTAACATCACTCTCTTCTACCTTCAGCTTTGCAATGTGAAATTATGATTATTAGATACGTGTCTCGATGGTATGTCATTAAAATTAATCGATCTTCATTACTCGTCGAAAAATTAATTCGAAGAAACAGGTAAAATTGTTTTGACCGTGATAAAATATTACAACGTTGTTAAGTTTTTTTCTCTGTAATTTTTATTCCTCGCGATTTGAATAGCGCTTTTTATTTTGAAGAAAAATCAGACAATGGACGTCGAGAGAAGAATAGAAGGCATTCGTACGTAAAGAACACGGGGCACAATGAGCTCGAGAGTACTTTGGTTTCTTCAAAAGGAGAAAAAAATAGATATACAATCAACATGTTTCATGCGTGCTCTTTAAAAACGCTGAAAAAAGTCTTCGAAGTCTTATTCACCAAAACAAGTTTTGAAAAATAGGTGACACTTCTCGAATTGTGTGTTTATCCGAATGTCTAACATTTCTTATATTCTTTATCATTTTTATTTAATATTCTGCGAAATAATAAACATAATATATTAATAATATATTATGCATTTTAATGTATTCTAGAAAATGAAAATGAAATGGACATAATAAATATTCTATTACATAATATTTTATTTCAGGATTTTAGGATATTTCGTATTTTTCTAGCTAATTTTCAAAACATAATCTATAAAAATAAGAAAATAAGAAAAAAAAATGTTATATTCAATTTTTAAATAATTTAATATAAAAAAATATTATATACAAAATATTAAGAATTATATATAAGAATCCTATATAATTTTTATAATAATAAAACATTACTCTTTCCTATCGTACTATCGAAAATCATCTTATTTAATTATTTACAATTACTACAATTTAATATAATAATTTTTATTAATATTAACAAAAATATATATATTTCGATATTAAAAATAAAATATAATAATAAATTGATAATAAATAATTAAACAATAAATAATGTATTAATATTAACAGAAAAAAAAACAAATTCAACATATATATACATACATAATCCCATACATACATAGTTCCTAACATCATTTAGAAAATCCTAACCTCACTCTTAATTTAACAACACTCCACCATTTCATTTCGCACGGAAGCATGGTCCGTTTCGAGATCGTGTGTCACGGCCGTGAATTTACCAACTAACTATTCCTCATCCCTTACGAGCCTAGACGATCAGTAAACAAGAACGACATAGGATAAGAAAGGCAAAACGAGAAAATATAACGTAAACGGACGTTCGAAAAAGGAACGAAGGAAACGAAATGTCAGAACGATAGGAACGTGGAAAATGGAGCGATAGTTTCTCTACAAACGCGATCGTAAAATTCCAAGCTTGGTATTTGTGCGCCAGACCGATCGAGTGTATACACGAGGCCCTTAAAGCCGCGTTCAACTTTAGAATCAGCTTTAAAATCCGGCGACCGGAAGTGAAATAGAGAAAAACGTCGAGATGAAAGTCGTAGACGTCGAGACATACGAAAGGGAGTCACACGGCTATTTTCTCTGCCTCCGTCTTCCTTCCTTCCTTCTTTTAGGGCGCGGATAGTCTCGAGAGAATATTTTTCAGAAATAGGTATAGTGTGTAGAATGATTGTTTGGGAATAATTTTCAATATTAACGAAAAGTATTTATTAATGATATAAAAGAATAATTTTTGAGATTTAATTATTTTCTTTGTGTTCCTTTTCTCAATGTATAAATATTTGAGAGTTTATATCGAAAATATTTTTCACATGTAGACGCAGCATTAAGAATGATCGTCCATTAATAATTTATCTTATACAGTATCCATTGATGACAAATAATTCCCCTCACTCTTGAGAGTTGTTACCAAGAATATTTTAGCGTATGACACAGAATTGAGAGTGACAATAATTTTCATTTTCGATATAGAAACAATTCTACAAAAAAAATTATCTATCTATATTCCTTTCTTCTTTAAGATATTTTCGAGAATTGTTATCAAGAATATTTTTCAGCATTAATTACTCTACAATAATTTTCACTTTCAACTAGCACCATATTATTCTAATTTTTTTCTCTCCAAAGAAAAATGCGAAATTTTTATTATTTCCTCTATAATTATTCCTTCTTACCTCACGCTGTAGGACCTTCCTGGTTTCGAGGTCATTGCACTGTGATGGGTGGTTGCAATAGGGTGGCTGCCACGTCAGATCGATTTTCTGCTACAGTGTTGAGAGCCAGTGGGAAAAGTCCCCTTGGCTTGCAATGCTTGCGTCCCCTTTTCGATCGACCACGGACCCTCCACGATTACCACGTGACTATCACGTAAAAACTCGAAACGTTAGAAACATCTTTGAGAGGAGGCTGGAATCGATTAGCAACCCTCTGGCGCCAGAACGCCCACTCTCAACAGACGAATCGTCTAAAATCGTGACGTGGATCGGTTAACAGAATGGAAGAGATAATTTGAATGAGAAGTAGCCATATTGAAGGAGAAGATTCTCTTGTACGATTATTTCTTCTTATTTCTTTTCGAATTTTTTCACTGGATCTTCACTGGATAATCTTTTGAATTTTTTTTTTAAGAGAAAACTTATTATTGAGAAGTAGATCCTTTGAGAATAATAATATGAATCGATTAATAAAATGGAAGAGATAACAGATGTATAGTTACGTTGAGGTTATGAAAGTTTTTCTTGGTCACGATTCTTTTCTGGGATTTTTTTCCCTGAAAGTTCACTGGTAAATAGTTTTTTGAGAGAAACCCTGTTTTTTTACGTTGACGATTGCAATGATTTAAATGAATTTGTGGGATATAGTCATATACATTAAGGAAGATGCTTTTTAACCACGTATATAATTTTTACACTAAAAGTTCACTAATAAATAATTTTTCAAAGAGTTTAAATTTTATATAAAAATATTCTATTTTTAGATTGAAGATCCTTCGAGAATTGCAAGAAGTATCGATTAATAATAAACGATATAACAGACGAGAAATAGTCACTTCGAGAATTTTGTCATGCTAACACTTGATTACTCGTGATAATTAATTTCTCAAATTTTCACAGAACTTCACTGATAGAAAATTATAATTGAAAATTATAAATTATAATATATAAAATTATAAAAATTATAATTCGGAATAATTAATCACTTTTCTCAACTCCTAATTACAGGCAATAAGTTCAATAAATACATAACTGTATCATCACAATTATAATAAAAAAAAAATCGTTCTTAACTTAATTTAAAACCAATCCACTGATCACAATCAATGCAATGCAATTGATTCATCGATTGTTACGAATCGAATTAAATCCTCAGTCAGTTGTATAATTCACAGTTGCGATCCACCGACAGTGATCGATAGACAGGAGCACAAAGGTCGAGGATTCCACGATTTTTGCGGTGACACGCGTGTAAACAGATTCCAAGAAAGTCCAATGTCACGGCTCGACCACGAGGCCGAGCGAAACAGTTTTAGTTCACTCGTGGCACACGAATACGTTCTTGAAACGCGGAATCGGCACGCTTCCTCTTCCCTCCTCTCTACTTCCGGCGCCCTCGTGATCGTGATAACTTCTGGATGTTATCCGACGGAACGATCGGATGTTTGTAACTATTGATATTTTTTATTTTAGATTTTTATTGATATTGGTTATGTTCGACAAAGTTTTGTTTTTAATTAATGAAACAGACGAGTATTGAGATATTTGCAGAATTTAACGGTGGATTAAATGAACATTGAAGACAGAAAGATTAAAATTAATGAGATAAGATAATGTGTTTTTATATGTTAAACAGAAAAACATTTAAATATGAAAAAAAATATTTTTTCAATATTCATTTTTAGAAAATAAAGTAAAATAAAAAAATATTGCAAAATTATTGAAAATTATTGAATTTTTTAAACTGTACTGTACTATCTATATCTAGAATATTTCTCAAAAAAAGATATTCAAATCAACATCTATTAATAATTTTATTGTTTAAATTTTAACATTTAGGTTATTTCCTTTCAAACAGAAATTAAAAAAAAAATATATTTTACATAATTCTTTTCAAAAAAAGATCAAAAAAGAAAAAATAATTTTAAAAATAATTGCCTCAAATTCTTAATCTATAATACTATCTTTTTAAATATTAAAATAAATTCTCTCAATTCAATTACTATCACACATCATCAATTATTTAAATTTCAATATCCATAATTTCCTAATTTCGAAAACTAAAAATGAAAAATAAATATTCTTAAAAACCATTGTTTCGATCACGAAAATAAGTAAAAGCTCAAAAACACTCCAATCATTCCGTCATTTAAAACCAGTTGTCCCTTTACACATTAACCCCCGAAAAACACCAATTTACCTCGCCACATTCGTAAAACTCTTATCGAATCGTAGCCGCATCATGATGCCGCACGTACGGCATCCCGAAGCGAAATGAAGCGTGGACACCCTCGACAAAGGGTGGGATACGC